ATCTTAACAAACTTTTACCGATAATTCTAGCGTTTTCGCAATGTAATGACAACCTTATGTCAGTTCAGTCAGCCGTACGGAAAGTAAGATCGGCCGGACGGAAATGATAGATGACCCCTTAAATGCTATAAGATCCTAAGTATAGATAGGCAAATACTATAATAGATGAATTTTGAATACGGATTTAGCCCATTATCTACGATGCTTTTTCAATGAAAACATATTTTCAAAATTTTAACAATATTTACCGTTAATTCTAGAGTTATCGCAAAGTTATAAAACAAAATTTAAGGTTGTCAGTTAAAAGTATCAAGATTTGAAAAGCTTTTCAATATGTGAAATTTAGAAAATGCTTAATATAGCTGTGTTTATAATAAACTCATTTAGCACCTAATAATTTAATGCAAATATATTCACCGGGGGCAGAGTAAGGTCGTTAAAATATCCAGCTGATAATGTTTCATCAAAGTCAATAAAATGAACTAAAATCATTCGGATTCTGCGGGCGTTATTATCAATTATGTTAATCGATTTTAGTGGTGTGTTATGTTTAAATTATTTAGTGAAATTGTATTTAAAAATGAATCTTTTCATATTTTATGTAAAAACCGGCCAAGTCAGATTCGCGCACCTAGAGTTCCGTATAAACTCAATTTAATACCTCTACGCGTTCATGAGAAAAGAGGTCGTAGTAACTTTAAAATTTTCAAAAATATTTTTTATTATACGATGTAACTAAAAATTTACGGTATTTAAAAAAAATCCTTTATCTGTACTATAAGACGTTACTTCTTACCAAATTTCAAGATTTTAAGTTCACGGGAAATAGTACCCTGTAAGTTTTGATTCCCGTGCGAGTTTCGAAAATTTGCGGCATAAACGGCTGTATCTTTTGATTGCTTTGGCTTAGAAGTTCAATTTTTTCACAGCTCCAAGGAACAGTAGACATGAGTATTAGATTAGATTATAATTTCAGTTTGATACCTCCACGCGTTCCTGAGAAAAACGGTCTTGACGGACGGACGGACAACAAAGTGATCTTATATGGGTTCCGTTTTTTCCTATTGAGGTACGGAACCCTAAAAATGAAGCCGATAAAAAAGTTAATTAGTAGTTATGTAGTCTGAGTGAGGAGCTCGATGGCTCAGGTGGCTAGCGCGTTCGGCTGCGATCGTTGAAGTTAAGCAACTTTCGCAGTGGTCGGTCATTGGATCGTAGCGCAGCCGAACGTACTACACCATTACGTGTTTTCATTATACACAATATTATTATATAAACAGTAGTAGAAATAGTATGATACAAAACATGTTAAAGAAAGTAAATAATCAAGCGGTATTCCATTCAAGTGTAAAATAATATAAATTTGCATTACACGACGACACCGAAACCAATGAATGAAAAAAAGATGTCTTTAAATGGTACGACAATTGAGCTGGAGCGGATTTCAAAGAGACTGCCGCCGGCGGGCAGCTTCGTGCGTGAAGCGTGCGCACGAAAAAATCCCGGGAATCAGGTTGCCCGACTAGTTTTTCACTGGCATTTATAACGTTAAGTTTGGCTGCCACGGAGCCCACGCCTTTTTACTGCGAAATTATACTCCCAAATGAAATTAAAATGAACCCGAATGATCGTTTGCGCAGGGCTCTTTGCAAATTTACCTGTCTGTGCGCACACTGAGCAAGTTATATTTTCGTTTGCTTGTGATGCTGTTAAGACAAGCAATTCATAAACCTTATAGAAAGTCTAGAACCTGGGTTCCGAACCTGGGGGTAATTACCCCTCCGGGGGTAAATCAGCCATACTTCGGGGGTAACAAAGAACCTAATTATTTGGTCAAATGTAAAGAATAAGAAAAAATATAAATAATACTACTAAATAGAGCATGCCCTCCTTCTTGCTAGCGAGCCCGCGGGGGTGCTGAGTGTGGGAAGTGGAACGAGATTTTCTCCTGATGATGACATTATTAGGGACGATGATGTAGCGGCCAAATTGGAATTTCTTGGACTGATGATAACATTTTAAAGTTAGGGTAAAAATCTGTTTTCCTAATAGGTTACATGGGGAGCAGTACTGGAAAGGTTAGGAAACACTGGTCTAGAAGATCAAATTGAATAAATTATGAGAAAAATGAAGTCAATAATCATAATGATTACGAGAAAACTTATAAAAAAAAAATGGGTGCGTGTACTTATGTAGGCGCGTGAGAAGTTATCCTTCTTTGGCATCGTTTAAAATTAGTTTTTAATTGCATGCAAATAATTAATTACAATAAATTAATAAAAAGTCTGGAAAAGGACACAGTCAATAAAGTTCAGTTTTAATTTGAAAAAATTAATAAATAATCAAAATATTCAATTAAAATCGCTACTGAATATAATTTATTAGAACATATGTGATTTGCACTTGTATGAAACTCAAACACGTATTCCGAATATACAAACTAGAAACATGTGGATAAATATTATAAATATATATACCTATAACTGTTACTTTATTACAAAAAATAAAGATGTGGTTTTTGGTTCTACTACATCAATGGTCAAGAGATGGCGCTGTAGTCTCCTGAATCGCGCTTTGGTTCCGTTGTTCCCGATAAATAAATACTTTTGATATTATAAATATGAATACCTATAACTGTTACTTTATTACAAAAAATAAAGATGTGGTTTTTGGTTCTACTACACCAATGGTCAAGAGATGGCGCTGTAGTCTCATGAATCGCGCTTTGGTTCCGTTGTTCCAGATTAATAAATACTTTTGATAGGCCTTTACAATGCAGTCGTTAGCACCCACTAAATAGAGATTCTATTTCTATTTTGTTGGTAGATTTTCTTAATGTGCGGTAAACACAAAAGTAACAGCATGAAGTTGGACCAACTTCATGCTGTTAAAATTTTGTGTTACAGTGATGCGCGCGCATCTTAAAATTTCACTCTCATCATTTTTTTATAACGCGCCTTCAAAAATTGTGTGTGTCAACTCCGACGCACGACTGGAGTTTACTCCTTAAGTTCGATAGTCTAACCAGACGCAAAAAGAGTTTATTTAACTTAAAAAATATTGATACTGTATGAAAGAGTAAATTAATGAAAATAATATACATATCTTTATATATATAATTCTTCTGTGAGTGTGTATGTCACTGAACTTCTCTTAAACAACTGGACCGATTTTGATGAAATTTTTTGTGTGTGTTCAAGGGAATCTGAGAATGGTTTAGATTCACAAAGACGTGTAGACAGGACAACGTCTGTCGGGTCCGCTAGTATAAATATATATTTATTCATTTCATATACATTTGTTATAACTAATCGACGAAATATTTTACATTAAACTTTTTACAATAGTCAATTTCAGATGTGCATAAATATATTATTTTAAGTTATTGTACATCTTAGTGTTTTTATTTGTTTTGTTACCTTAGCTCATGGTGGGCGATAACAGAGTCATGTTGTTAAGTTAAATATTTGTAAGGATAAATCTCAGTTTGTCCTTGGTGGGCGATTATGTATACGCCATTTGTGCATTTAAAATTTTAGTTCATATTTATCAAAATATATGGCGCTGTAGTTCGTTGCATCACGCTTGTAAATATGTTTGGAGCTACATATAGACAAAACGTCTATAGTTGAACAAAATACATTGTAGTTTCAATTTAATTCTTTTGCACCTAAGCTCTCGGATTTAAGAGTCATTTTGGCTCGAACAGGATGCGCACCAAAAACGTAACGAGGGCATTCATCGATAGATTTAACTCCTCACATTTTTCTCATACCGGGCCCCTTATATATGCAAATCGATTCTTAAGGAGTAAACTCCAAAAAATAAAGATTGTCTTACATTCATCGATATAAATGAATTAATAATAACATTGATAAAAGCCGGCTCCTATTGCGACTAGTCGAGTATCCACGCTCGGGTCCGTTTTTGCTGTCGCCTGTCAGTCGCACAATTTGTCACCGATGCAACGTAAGGCGAGTCGTGCGACTGGCCGCCTCCGTCGCGTTGATTTACATGCGTTTATGTCGCTGCACCATCCGCGGGGGCGAATTACGTATCTATTACAATACACACACCGTGAATCTTGCTAGCTAGAACTTCTACCGAGCAACGAGCTCATTGAATATCAGGTTATATATATTTATGTATGTGAGCAATGAATACGGCAACTTTGTTCATGTCATTGGAGATGAATAGAAAACGTTTTCTGAAACTCTCTTATATAAATAAATAAATATTTCCAACACTCACACCAATTAGACTAGCCCCAAAAAACACTGTAAGGGCGCTTTCAATTTATGCGTTTCTTGACGGCCTGCTGCGGTGCCGAAGCGGTGCGTTTGTCGTTCAGCGTATGGACGATCCTTTTTTTTCATACAAAACGCGCGGTGCGGCAACAGTGCGGCGCGCCGGTACCGCAAACGCTCGACAACAGGACTGCTGAGTCTCCTAATGTCATCCACCCAAGGCATCGTTTTGGTGGCATATTTTGATTGATACAAACCTTCACAAAAATCCTAAAATATGTTCCTTTAGAATAAAACTCAAAGGTGACTGACTGACATAGTGATCTATCAACGCACAGCCCAAACCACTGGACGGATCGGGCTGAAATTTGGCATGCAGGAAGATGTTATGACGTAGGCATCCGTTAAGAAACAATTTTGATCAATTCTACCCCAAGGGGATAAAATAGGGAATGAAAGTTTGTATGAAACTTTGTCAATTTTAAACCGATCGGGCTGATACTTTGCATGCAGGTATAAGAAGAATCATAGATGAATGTCATTGTGTATAATACAAGTCTGAGAACTAAAACTGTAGTCTACACTTCAGCTCTACACCGAAGCGAAGCGAGGGCGCCGGCCGCTAGTTATAATATAATTATTTAACAAGCCCTCTGGCTTGATATTTGCTATGCCCTTGCAGGACGTCACATATTTACCTTACATAAATTAATGTACCATCATGACTGTAATGTGACATGCAATAAATAAATAAATAAAGGTGTGTGTTTTCTCAGGTGTGATGGTGCGGTGACCTGCAGCCATGTCGGCGGTGATGAGCACGCTGTCCATGATCAGCGGCGGTCGGCGCGCGCACCGCAAGCTCGCCAGGTATGGAATCATTTATATTTATTGTATTTTATATTGATTGAAAAACAATCAGCATAAAAAACTGTAATCATCATCATCAGCCTATTAATGTCCCCATTGCTGGGGCACAGGCCTTCCCTATGGGTGGTATAGGGAGATTGGGCGATGACCCACCACACAGGCCCAGTGCGGATTGGCGAGTGCTAACGACTGCAGGTGCAGTCGGGACCAACAGCTTAACTAGCCTTCCGAAGCACGGAGGAACTCGAAATAGAAGATTTTCGGTCACCCATCCAAAATGACCGACCACTGCGAAAGTTGCTTAACTTCAACGATCGCAGCCGAACAACGCTAACCACCTGCGCCATCGAGCTCCTCAAATACAAAACTATAAAGCACATCTATTACTTATACAAATTGCGCACTAAATTACTGAAATATATGTATAGTAGCAAACCAGTGAACCAAATGTTCACCAAAACCTGATTTCTCGAAAACCGGAAGTGCTACGTTACTCAAATCCGGTTTGTAGTCTTATCAGACTATTCTTAACTTATAACTTAAATATTCTCTTTATCTATCTCTTACGGTTGACGCGCTTTAACTTTGTCATTTTTTGGTTAATTGCCCAAAGAAAATAAAAAAATGGGTGCGTGTACTTATGTAGGCGCGTGAGAAGTTATCCTTCTTTGGCATCGTTTAAAATTAGTTTTTAATTGCATGAAAATAATTAATTACAATAAATTAATAAAAAGTCTGGAAAAGGACACAGTCAATAAAGTTCAGTTTTAATTTGAAAAAATAAATATACAATCAAAATATTCAATTAAAATCGCTATTGAATATAATTTATTAGAACATATATGTGATTTGCACTTGTATGAAACTCAAACACGTATTCCGAATATACAAACTAGAAACATGTGGATAAATATTATAAATATGAATACCTATAACTGTTACTTTATTACAAAAAATAAAGATGTGGTTTTTGGTTCTACTACACCAATGGTCAAGAGATGGCGCTGTAGTCTCCTGAATCGCGCTTTGGTTCCGTTGTTTCAGATTAATAAATACTTTTGATAGGCCTTCACAATGCAGTCGTTAGCACCCACTAAATAGAGATTCTATTTCTATTTTGTTGGTAGATTTTCTTAATGTGCGATAAACACAAAAGTAACAGCATGAAGTTGGTTGGCTTTAGCGACCAACTTCATGCTGTTAAAATTTTGTGTTACAGTGATGCGCGCGCATCTAAAAATTTCACTCTCATCATTTTTTCATAACGCGCCTAAAGAAGTATAACTTCCAAATACGTGTTCATTATTTTTGATCATCTAACTGACGGACTAAATAATTAAATAATATATATATAAAATATTTCGTTTACCGTCATCACCCCTATTCTAAACAATGTTAACAATAAGTTAAATATTTGTTAATGCGACTAAAATAGACTAGACTTCAGTATCTTATATATAAAATTCTCGTGTCACAATGTTAGTTACCGTACTCCTCCGAAACGGCTTGACCAATTTTTATGAAATTTTACATGCATATTCAGTAGGTCTGAGAATCGGCTACTATCTATTTTTCGTACCCCTAAGTGATAAGGGTTGTTCACCACTAATATTTATTTTTATTTATTGGACTTTTTTTTATTCTTTTCTGATGTAGCATTAAAAATTAAATACAACCCTAAATTTTCACCCTTCTATCACCAACCCCTATTTTTTAATAATCATTTATATGGTAAAACAAAGTTCGCTGGGTCAGCTAGTACTATTTTTATTAATCTCATAGAACATGCTGTATAATTTCTTTATCACGCGATGTGTGATTATTCTGATCAGTATAAGAAAAAAAAAACATAATTTTAGAGGAACACACTTTGAATAGAGCCCGCGTGTGAGCCACTTTGCCATAAATTATGGAAATTATTTTCGGTTTAAAATATTCATCGTCATTTCATGTTTAAACAGAATTTCAAAACTACAGTGGCCTGCAGAACAAAGTATCAGACTTTTAAAATTGCAGTAACTTTTAAGGCACTATATAGATAGTTATAGTACCTAAAAAGTTTAGTGCCATTTCGAAAGTATATCGTACTTTCGAAATGAAAAGAAGACGAAAAAGAGTTTAATCTACTATATAAAAATAAGTCGGGTTTTCCTTCCTGACGCTATAACTCCAGAACGCACGTACCGATTTCCACGGTTTTGCATTCGTTGGAAAGGTCTCGGGCTCCGTGAGGTTTATAGCAAAGAAAATTCAGGAAAAATAAAAAAAAATCTTCTTTTAATCACCAAACGAAATGTTACATAAAACGAAGCCATCTGGTGGTGAAACGGAGTTCGCCGGGTTTGCTAGTTTTGTATATTAGTTTCAAAGAAAGCTGATAAAATCTCTTATCTATTAGACAAGTCCGTCCGTCCGTCCGTCCGTGGTGCTGTTTCAGCGGCCAAACCGTAAGAGATAGATAAAGAGAATGTTTAAGTTATAAGTTAAGAATAGTCTGATAAGACTACAAACCGGATTTGAGTAACGTAGCACTTCCGGTTTTCGAGAAATAACGTGATTTCTATTTCAAACGAAACCATACAAAATCTGCGAAGTTCTCAATTAATTAAATACATTTTTTTTTTGGTAAACATTTGGTTCACTGGTTTGCTAGTTTGCTATAATACGTTTTTGAAGCGAAAACTTCTTTAGCACCGTTGTGATTTGGGATTCGATGAAATCTACTCCATTAGTTAGTTAGTTAGTTCTTCAGGGCGGTTTCCGCACTTAGTCCTAATTATTGGACCATTGTGCGTGTCTCAAAAACATTCCCGTTTACTCCAGCCAGCCTAAATCGGTCCAGAAGGAAAGCAACCTTGGTAGGCTGCTGCAAGCTTCCGGAAACGATTCTGGTGACTGGAGAAGTCGTGCCCGTTGGTCGGCCACACTCCTGCATTCCATGATGACATGCTGTGGCGTTTCTTCCGTCTCCATGCATCCTCTGCACAGGGGGCTGTCCGTTACTCCTATTGTATATAGGTGTTTGTTTAGGGGACAATGGCCAGTCAGGGATCCTATAATCCTGCGAAGTTTGTCCCTATTTAGTCTGGTAAGGGTGCGGGCAAAACTTTTATTTACCGCCGGAACCGCGTTTTTCGTTTGCCGGCATCCTTCACCTGTTTTCCACCCCATCAAGTGTGATTTTTGAGTTATTTCACGCAGCCACGTTTTAATTTGGGCCTGAGGTATGGGCAGCAAAGGTTCCGGACCGTACACTTTTGTGTCTGCTCCCCTCTTGGCCAACTCGTCTGCTGCGTCATTTCCGATTGAGCTGCTGTGTCCTTTTATCCATTGCAGAGTTACTGTGTTGCTAACCGCAATGGATTGAAGTGCCTTGTGGCACTCCATTACTAGGACAGAGTTTATTGTGTTGCTACGTAGGGCTTGAAGCACGGATGCACTGTCAGAGATGATCTTGATGTTAATGAAATCTACTCCAATGAAATCTACTCCATATAAATGATAAAATTACGATATCCGTAATTCAAGATAGATCACAAGAAACGGATAGCCGAACGGTAACGGTCTTGGGGTTGACACCAACTGATCAGTACCCTTAGCACGAACCAATGTCGAATTCGTATCGTTTGCGAGTACGAAATGTCATTGTCAAATGTGTACTGATTTTTAGTTCTCGTTACGTACGTTACAGCGCTAATGTTTAAGATTTCATGCAAAATTTGACAATGACATTTCGGACTTGCAAACTATACGAACTCGATATTGGTTCGTGCTAGGGGTACTGGTGGTTCGATCCTGAATTCGGTAATTTTTTATTGTTTTTTTCTTTTATTAAGCTATTATTTTAAGCTATTTTTCCAAACAATTTAAGTACTAGGCAGGTATGCTAGGTTAGCACTCGACATAGTTACCGAATTTGCAAACTGAAGTGGCACTGGGCTGGTCACATTAGCCGCAGAACTGACGGCCGTTGGAGCCGGAAAGTTCTTGAGTGGAGACCGCGACTCTGTAAACGTAGTGTAGGACGCCCTGAGACAAGATGGGATGATGACATTCGTAGGCTGGCTGGAGTGGGCTGGATGAGAGTGGCAGAAAATCGGGAGCAGTGGCGTGCATTAGGGGAGACCTATGTCCAGCAGTGGACGAGCATGGGTTGATGATGATGATGATGATAGTTATTCACACACAGCAATTTGTCCTTATTACAGCAATTTGTCCTTATTATGCATATTATAGAAATACTGTTGTCGAGTTTACAAATAGCAAATACTATATTAGCAGCTTCACCCAAGTACCGGCATTAGGCCCCAGTCCAGTGTTTAAAGTCTTATAACTGACTAGCGGCCCGCCCTCGCTTCGCTTCGGTGTAGAGCTGAAGTGTAGGCTACAGTCTTTGTTCTCAGGCTTGTATTATACACAAAGACATTCATCTATGATTCTTCTTATACCTGCATGCAAAGTCTCAGCCCGATTGGTTTAAAATTGACAAAGTTTCATACAAACTTTTATTTCCCTATTTTATCCCCTTGGGGGTAAAATTGATCAAAATCCTTTCTTAGCGGATGCCTACGTCATAACATCCTGCATGCCAAATTTCAGCCCGATCCGTCCAGTGGTTTGGGCTGTGCGTTGATAGATCACTATGTCAGTCAGTCAGTCACCTTTGAGTTTTATATATATAAGATAATTCATATCTGGACTGAAATCTGATTGGAGCCTAAGTTTCTCTAAAATTCCAAATGCTCATAATATGCTTACCAAATGCTTATCATTTTATTCTTGACTCGGCTGGTAAAATTTAGTTTAACAAATTTCCTATTGTCGTCAGCTCGCGCAAGTCGGGGCAGCTCTCCGATGCAGGCGAGGACCGCTCGCGCGCACTGCACGACCTCAACAAGCAGCAGCGGTCGGCCTCCCTCGTGAGTACCTTTTTTTTTGTATGAAAAATGCCATGCGCATCCTATGGCCGTATACAGAAAGAAATCCGAAAGCCGATCAGCGCTGATCCTTACTACATAAAGGAAGCCGATTAAAACAGAGCAAGCAAAATGTCGGACTCATCGGACGATGATTTGGTTTTGTTACAACATGTGTATTTAAAAATGCGAAAAAAGCTATGCATCCTGTAAATAGAGAAAGGAAACGTTTCGGATAATACAAGCGTTTATTTGTAAAAAATGAAATTTGATGATTAAAGATTTCATACATATACAAGAATGACTCAAGAATCATTTTATTACAGTTTGGATTTAGTGAAAAACCGTTTGATGAAAATTTTGTGTAATTGGCATAAACAACCAATCCTTCCAGAAGAAAGACTTGTTGTCACCATTCGGTAAGTAGCTTAGTTAATAAAAGATAAAGTTATTAGATTTATAAAAAGATTATACCTTAGATTGATTTAATCTAAGGCTAATAATTCAAATACAAATCATTTATTATTACATAGATCATAATGACCAGCTGACCAGCGCGTGTCGGAATTTGTCGGCGCTTATCGGCGCTTATCGGCTTTCTTTCTGTATACGGCCTATGCCAACTAGGGGTGCCAAACGAAGGCATGTGCGGACTCCCCCCTGCTCACGTCACATAGCCCTAAAGCTCGGTGAAATGAGCAAGGCCCTAATCAGTAACAACCAGACAATAATCCTGCCCCAGTCACCCGACACGCATTTTGGGTGAACCGAGGTCCCCCCAATGGGCGCCGGGAGTGTGGGTGTAATTGCAGCATCTGATTTCCAACAGGCCTCACGCCCGCAAAGTGATAGTCCGCGAACCGCCCGCCCCTATGAAGATACCCCGGAGCATTAGGGCCATCTTCATTTAGACCCTTATGAGTACCTACTCCATAACAATGCAATTGTTTCGGCGACATCTATTAAATGCCCCTCATATAACTAACATGGAGGAAATAATCACTCGCCTCCTCAAGAGATGGCGCTACCAGCGCTGCGTTCACAACGTAAGGAAGCCTACATCGCACAAGTGAAATTCGGGGCCAACAGTTCATATATACAATGCCCGACCAACATCTTCCCCTTTGACCTTCCTACACAATCATACTTCAATTAATTGTTATGCTTTAATGGGTATCGTCTCATATTGACATCCTTCGCCATATACCAATTTAGTCCAAGTCAACGAAAACAAATAAAAATAATCATAATTTCCTTGCATTCGCTCGATGTCGCAGTATCGCCGCGCTGCCCGCCGCGCTTAGCAATTTCGGGTCCCATTACTATACTATTTTTAAAGTACCATTCATGAATGAAAAAGCTTTACACATTATTGGTTATGTTAGGATGGCTGTTCAATGTGAGTGAAACAATTACATATTGTCACTAATGCATGTCGTGGAGGGGTGATGACGGGTTACAGTAAACGAAATTCTATTAAGTCCGTCAGTTAGATAAATAAAAAATAATGGACACGTATTTTTTCTTTGGGCAATCAACCAAAAAATGGCAAAGTTATAGCGCGTCAAAGTTTCGGAGTAGGGCCTCGTGACGTCACTTTTAAGTGAAAATTGTACCAAAACGTGACTTCATGCGACTTTTCAAATCAATATATCTCTGCAATGTTTATATTATGTGAAAAAAGAAAAAATAAGTGTCCAATACTTTTTGATAATCAACCTGATAAACGAAGAAAAAAAATAGTCATCAGTCACCTATTAAAATACCACTTAATGTCACATAAACATTATTGTTTTACTATAGTATGTGTGGACAGTCTAATTGGTTGTCCTTAAATAAATAAATAAATTATTTATATTATTGGTAAAACTGTTATGTATAAAATGTATTGTAATTGCGTTGCTAACAGCCTAAGAAGCTAGGGATGTCGAAAGTTGAAAAAAACATCGATATATCGGACCAATTTTTCCAAAAATATATTTATGACACCTAAAAATAGACCTTATTTTCGAATGATGAAAATGATTGCAGGGCCGCCCAGGTGCCATCTTTCGTAAACAAAACTAGACAGTCACACACTTCTACAGAATATATTATGGAAATCAGCGCAACCAATTCACCAGCGAAACAGATTTACAAATAATAGACAATACTAAATACAGCACAGATCATAGATATGTTGAATATCATTAATCTGACATCCAGTTACGATTTTTCCAGAAACGAATTTAGTTAGATCGTGATATGCCGCTAATAATCAAAAAAATATCGTTTTTGATACGAATTTCGATATTGGTTATTTTGTATCGATGTATCGATATATCGAATCAAAATATATTGGCAAAAAATATCGATACATCGAACAAAAAAATATCGATATATCGATACATCAATATATTTTCAACAAGCCTACAAGCAACCTAACAGCAAAACGCTACGGCCGATAATCGTAGATAACAATTAGTGTACAAGTCATTCGTAGCTGCGCGTTAACGCACGCAACATTTCTACTCATGCAAATGTGTGTAATACTAGGTTTCGCACGCATAAATTTGAATGTGAATGTATTGTGCATGGCATTAGCTATTTTACCCACGGTGTGCCAGCCGGAGCATATGATTTACGGCGTTAAGGTTTCATGTGGTTTCAACACTCGGCGAAGACTCTGCCCGGGGCGTGGGCGATGAATAACACTGGTATCTACAGGATGATGCCTCTCCCACACATGCGTTTATCGTCACGAAGCTTCGTCTGTGAACGCGATAAACGCACGTGTGGGAGGGAAGTCAATAGCGGCAGAACTATCGGGCTGAGTGACGATAGGTCTAACACAGTGCTTAACTGTATATTGAAGTTAATGTTTAGTCACACTTAATATAAATAACACTATTTGTATTTATACTGTATGACACCGCAATCAAAATGCAGGTAAACAATTAATGTATATTTAATAATTATGTAATGAAAGGTGACTTCAGGAATCATCTCTGAAGTCGTTTTTCAATTTGACGACTCTGTAAATAATAAAACAGGGAGAAAAAAACAGCCCTTGCTGAGTTTCTTGCCGGTTCTTCTCAGTACAAGGTCTCCCGCCGTAGATTTACGAACCGATGGCGTAGCTTCTAGACATTCATGAGTGCTTGTAACAGCCTAAACTGAATAAATAAGTTTGATTATGATTACTGGCGGATTTTGACACACATCAAAGCGGTTTTAGGGCATGTTCAATTTATGTGTATTGTTGAAGGAACGTACAACAACGCCTTTAGGGAAAAAAATATTGACGCTAATTTTAGTGTAATAAATTGTAAGTTAATAAGTTACTACACCAAAGCTTCGCCGCGCAGTAGTGGGAGCAGTGTTGCCAGGTCCGATTTTTAAAAATCGGGAGGCGTTATTGAAATAAAACTGTAGATGTATGGAAAGAGCTACAAGAAAAACATTAATGATGATAATAAAATAATAATAACAAGATGCTGAGGCGTACTTTTTCCAATTTGCACCCCCCCCCCCCCCTCTAGAATTGGTAAATCCAATGAAGATAAACTTAATACCAGTAACGACAACGACTGTGTTTTTGTGGCTTCTGCCGCCCCATAAAGTTAGTTTTTTTTAAACAATAACATTTATTTTAAAATTAATAAGGTTACGTACATTATTAATGGCCGAAAATGCAACTCAACATGCCATTTAAAAAAGAAAATCGTATTTTAAAAAAAACAGGAGTTTCATGTAGAAAAACAGTAGAACAGGAGAACTTTCAGAAAAACAGGAGATCTCCTGTAATATGTGGAGACCTGGCAACACTGTGTTGGAGAAGCATCAGAATAACCTGCAGGCTCCTTGATCCATTGATCGCAGATAAAGTAATCACTAGGGTTTTACTCTGGATTATAATCATTTATTTTTTTATCTGTCACAGCAACGACACAAACTCATTTAAAAAGTTTTATAAGAAAATAACGATCAGGCATTAAAATCTTAGGATGTCCTCAGACTCGATGGAGTGACGATTTGCGCAAGGTGGCTGGCAGGAGCTGGATGCTACTAGCCCAAAATCGATCTGAGTGGCGTGCAATTGGAGAGGCCTATGTCCAGCAGTGGACCAGGATAGGCTGTTGATGATAAAAATCTTAATTTATTTATCATGATGACAAGAAAACTTTACTATTATACTAACTGGTGCTATTTTTTCCGTTTCTAGGAAAAACCCTATAATCAAAGCAAAAACCATGTATTTTACAAAAATGTAACATATACTTCCGAACACATGATATGGGCCTCAACACCTAGCATTTTAAGTTTTGACGGTCCCTAGTAATCATCATCCAATGGCCATGACCCTCGGACCATGAGTTGGGAATGTAAATTAAACGGCCTTGGTTGACTTTATTGTAGGATATTTCGTAATTTATTCACAGCTTTAAATAAACAGCACGGTGACAGATAGACAGACATTAGCGGAGTCTTCTTCTTCGGAACCCTGAAAAGAAGAGCAGTTTCATATATTAAAAGCGACTAGTGAAATTAAAGTTACGGAAATTATACACCAAGTAAGTACAAATCATATGACCTTACCGCAAGGGCACACTCATTAAAAATATCTCTTATCTAATAGACAAGTCCGTCCGTCCGTCCGTGGTGCTGTTTCAGCGGCCAAACCGTAAGAGATAGATAAAGAGAATGTTTAAGTTATAAGTTAAGAATAGTCTGATAAGACTATTCTTAACTTATAACGTAGTATTATACACAATGACATTCATCTATGATTCTTCTTATACCTGCATGCAAAGTCTCAGCCCGATCGGTTTAAAATTGACAAAGTTTCATACAAAATTTCATTCCCTATTTAATCCCCTTTATGGGTAGAATTGATCAAAATCCTTTCTTAGCGGATGCCTACGTCATAACATCTACCTGCATGCCAAATTTCAGGCCGATCCGTCCAGTGGTTTGGGCTGTGCATTGATAGATAGATCACTATGTCTATGTCAGTCACCTTT